CCCAGAATTCCTGAGCCAGCCATGCTGAGGGGAAAGGGAGAGGTTTCCAAGCTGAGCCATGCTGGCTCAGGAATTCTGGGAGTTGAAGTCCAGGAGTCATAAAAGAGCCAAGGTTGCCTACCCCTGGCCTATTCCTTCCGAGCATATACGTAAGCCCTCACTGCAAGAACACATTCTGTACACCCTTTACGTGAAGTTATCAAATTCTTGCTTTCGTGTGTTTCAAGGATGACCGGTGAATTATTGAAGAGATCTTTGTTGCTTTTCTATCTTTCAGCCTGCCAACATGGTAACATTAACACGAATTTTTAGTGACTATTCAAAGTTACAACGGCACTGGGGGAAAAAAAGGTGACTTATGACCATTTTTCACACTTACAATTGTTGCCGCATCCCCAGGGTCACCTGATGATAATTCCGACGCTTGGCAACCAACTCGTTTTTATGACGATCGCATTGTCCCGGGATCACGGGATCCCCTTTTGCGAACTTCTGACAAGTCAAGTCAAGGGGGAAGCCAGATTTCTTTAACAACTGTGTCACTAACTTAACAGTTGCAGGGATTCCCTTAACAACGGTGGCAGGAAAGGTCGTTAAAAGGGGGCACGGCTCATTTAACAACCGTCTGGCTTAACAACCAAAATTGGGGGCCTAGTTGTGGTCCTAAGTCGAGGACCACCTGTTTACTCATCAAAAGCATACGGCATCCAGCCTTCTGGTTTGTAAGCCACAATTGATAAGTTCTTGCTGGTGTATTTGTCTGCTTTAACCTTCTCTGCGAATGGCAGAGCCGAACGCGCTCACAATCACCCCGCTTAGAAAAACTCGGGAAGCTTCCCCAGAATTCTGCCTTGTTGTGGTTTGTGACGGCAGTTTTTTGGCTCTCGTCTTCTTCGCACCTGCACCCCCATTTCTCAAGAGGGTGCATCAAGGGCGGCCTTACTACTAGAAAGGAAGCAGCTCCCCTGCCCCCCTTGCTGAAACACAAACATTTGCACAATCCTGGTGGGAACCCTTTGGCTCTCCTCCGTCAAGGATAGGCTGCCAAAAAACACCTTGATTGCCTCTATTGTGAGCCCTCCAGCTTTGGGGGGGGGGGGGGGGGGGGGGGGCGAGTTTCATTCCATGGGAACCAGCTTGCAAAGGGTTTCCAGAGTGGCGTCAGGGGAAAAAAAAAAAGCGCCGTGTCTCTGCATCGCCCCCGGGGAACACCAGCAAACCGCAGCAGCTCATCTCCCCCAGCGTGTCTCTTCCCCGTTCTCCTGGTGCCCTTGCAGGGAAGAAGATGCAGCCCAGGTTTTTCTCCCGGCTGCTCCTCCCCGTGGATGGTTGGCAGATGAGCTCATGTTTGCCTTGGCCCACGTCCAAGGCCTGGGCTTAAAAGACCGAGAGGCAGCCAAGTTCAGGATGGTGAGAAGGTGTGCCTGGGGCAGGGGCTTCGATGGGGGGCTCTTGGCAGAGAAGGCGTGCTGGCTGGGGAAGGGACGCCCTCCTTACAGAGGGTAGCTCAGCCCCTCCTAAGGAGGATCCCTTCCAGAAACATCAGGACAACATCTCTCAGAATATCCACCCGTCCACCGGCTGGCTGGCCTGGGACTTCTTGACTTACGACCCCAACTTCTACTGCTGAAGGAGGGAAGTCGTTAAGGGAGTCTTGCCTGAGGTTTCGACCGTTGGTGCTACGGTCGTGAAGTGAATCACTGTGGTTAAGGGAATCGCAGGGTCATTCAGCAAATCCAGCTTTTCCCATTGACTTCCCTCGTTGGAAGCTGGCTGGGAAGGCCACACAGGGTGATCCTGTGACACACACACACACACACACACACACACACCCCACACACACCCCAGGATGCTGCAATCATGGTAAATACATGCTGGCTGCAAGGTCCTGAATTTTGATGGTGTGAACGCAGGGAGGTTGCAACCGTTGCAAGTAGAAGTGGTTGTTAAGTCATTTTTTTTTACCAGTGCATAAACACTGGTAAACTTTGAACAGTCTCTAAAGTTCCAGTGTTTCTCAACCTTGACAATTTTAAGGCATGTGGACTTCAACTCCCAGAATTCCACAGCCAGCAATGCTGGCTGTGGAATTCTGGGAGTTGAAGTCCACATGCCTTAAAATTGTCAAGGTTGAGAAACACTGCGGAAACAAATGGACATAATTCAAGGACTACCGGTAGTCCCGCTGTATTTAGAAGGCATTGGTTTTGGCAGGCTGGAGTAGACCTTCTCATAGCATGCCACCCACCCACCTGGAGAATCCCTGCTTGTGGAACCACGTTATCCAAGCTGGTGGGCAGCTGCCTGGCATTGCCTAGCTAAGCCCAGCCTAGTGGGATAAGATTTCAACAGGCCTGAGCCCCAAGATCTCCCTAGCCTAAGAGGGGCCCTGTGGAAAAGCAATTCAAGGAACCCCCCAAAGAAAATATCCTTTCCGGTATAGGGCTAAGGGACAGGATGCCCTCCCCTTTGCTTGGCCAAACTCTGCAGGCAGAAGGACTGTTGGTGTCGCCAGCTGTGCACTTCTTTCTCTGCTGGGTCCCTTCTGGAATCTCCTTCCTTAAAGGTAGGCAGCTCTGATCCTCTGATCCTAAAGCAGCCTTTTTTTTCCCCCTCTTGGAGATGGCAGTGTAGATATACAAGATACGTGCCACATTTCTATTTGAGCAGGAAAAAGGAATTGCTCTGTTCTGCAAAAAACCAGGAAGCACTACTGCCCAGTCACGGTTACTTACTTGTCTGCACAAATGTCCTGCAGGGCAGCTCAGATAACAATACAACTTCTCAATCAGTGCTGCAGTTGAGAAATATAAAATATGAGGGTAATTCAACCAGTTCCTGGCTTTGAGGTTTTGGGATTTTCCCTCTTGACTTGGAAGCTGGCTGACTGGCCTGGCTGGGATTGTGCTCCAGAAGGAAGGACAAAGTCTCCACCTAAATACACAAGTTGCGTAGTGAGATGAACAGACTCAGTTGCCGGCTGTGTCCGAGACCTCTGCACCAGCTTCGGTATACAGTACGTGGAGCTGTGTAGTTGTCTGAAATGTAGAGGTGTTGGGTTGTTTGGGGCAATGAGGCTGGAGGCGAGAGCGTTGATAAAGTGCAGTTCACAAAGTTTTTTCGCTTTTTAATAAAATGCAATTATTGGAAAAGAGGCTACCAATTTTCTTCTGATTACTTGCTTTTAAGAATTAGTATAGCTTGACTCTGGGATTGCATCGGTGGTGGGATTCAAATAGGTGAACTACCGGTTCTCTGTGTGGATGCCGCTTCCGGAATTCTATTCTGGGCCTGGGCAACAACAAATTAGCTACCGGTTCTGCCAAAGTGGTGCAAACCAGTTGAATCCCACCACAGGAAGGAAGGAAGGAAGGAAGGAAGGAAGGAAGGAAGGAAGGAAGGAAGGAAGGAAGGAAGGAAGGAAGGAAGGAAGGAAGGAAGGAGTGGTGGGATTCAAATAGGTGAACAACTGGTTCTCTGTGTGGATGCTGCTTCCGGAAGTCCATTCTGGGCCTGGGCAACAAGAAATTAGCTACCGGTTATGCTGAACTGGTGCGACGTGGTTGAATCCCACCACAGGAAGGAAGGAAGGAAGGAAGGAAGGAAGGAAGGAAGGAAGGAAGGAGTGGTGGGATTCAAATAGGTGAACAACCGGTTCTCTGTGTGGATGCCACTTCCGGAAGTCCGTTCTGGGCCTGGGCAACAAAAAATTAGCTACCGGTTCTGCCAAAGTGGTGCAAACCGGCTGAATCCCACCACTGGGTTGCATGCTTGTCTCACATGTAAGATGATTATGGATAACTTTCATTCTTTTGCCATTTAGTGACTGATATATTAGATTGCTTAGTGAAGTAGAAAAAGGAAGCCTTTTCTGCCAAGGATTGCATGCAGCTGTTTTTTTTTCAACCTTGGCAACTTTAAGATGTGTGGACTTCAACTCCCAGGATTCCCCAGCCAGCCCCGGAGATGAAATCCACACATCTTAAAACTGCAAGAGTTGAAACACAGTGTGCATGTGTGCATGTGGTGGTGATGCTACTGCTGCTGCCGAGGGTCATAGCTGCTAAAACTGCAGTGTAATCTAATTTTGTTTACAGGTTAGAGAATTAAAGGGAGCAAACAGATATGTTGAGATTTCCAGGGATTTAAGATATTGTACCCTCCCACACACCTTATCTCATGCAAAATTGCCAGAAGCTGCTTTCTTGAAAACTAACCATTGTGGAGTCCAATTTTGACAACATGATTTGATGGTGCTTGAATAATATTTGATTACATTGTTGGAGGAGGTGGCATTAATTAATTACAGCCTTCATTGTTGGAGGAGGTGGCATTAATTAATTACAGTATATCATTTGTACAAATATTAAATATGACACTAGAAGCAATAGGAGCAAAAAAATAAATGAATGGATGGATGGATGAATGGATGAATGAATGAAAATGAATGAATGACACTCAAGCAGCCGAGTTATATGATGGAACATAAGATCACTGCTTTCAAAGTCTGCCTTTCCCCTTCCAGTTAATAGCAATTACCTTCAAGTATATTGGTTGCAAATGACAAGAAACATAATTTAAAAAAAATAAATCTCATTTTATTCTACCATTTCCCATAACTATTTCCATGTTTTGTGTTGTTTTATCCCTACACTGCTAATGAAGGAATCAAAGACAGGATAGTAGCATGAAATCTTTCTCAGTGCTTACTTTTCTGTCTAAAAGTTCCTCCTGGCTCGCTCACAAAAATTCCACACACTCCAAGAGCATCACGTTGGGTGGGAGGAACTCTTAGAGCATAAATCTATCTCTTCTTCTGAAAACTGCCAAATTCTCTCCTCCGAGCAACTCCCGACCGAAGACTATCAAATGATATCCTGCACAGTATTCTCTTCTCTTCCATTGCCCAGCCTTAAACTTTGGGTCTTCTTATTGTTATTCAAGGATAGTGTTGAGCTGACTAACTCTTCCATGGTCTTCTTCTTCTTCTTCTCTCGCAGCATCTTGGTAAACATGGATAACAACATAATCCAACATTACAGCAACCATATGGCTTTCCTCCTCGATGTGGTGGAGGCTGAGGAGAAGTTCCAGGTGACCCTCAAGGAGCTCTGAAGACTCCAAAGCCTGCACTTCTACGGGATGATTGACAGCGGGGCGGAGTTTCACTCTCCTTCTGCGCAAGCCCAACCCATCAGTCTGGAGTATTTGACTGGTCCGCGACCCCCTTTGAAGGGGGGGGTGGGGGAAAGTAACCAGAGATGGTGGCTGAGCTCTACATGTGAAGAGGGTGTAGAAGATCCATTCTCAATGTGAATGTGGAACTTCTTGCCGTTACTTTTACTATTGTCGCTACTGTTGTTATTATTATTATTGTTATTATTTTATACTGTATTATGATGCTGGTTGTCTGCCAGACCGAGAATTCTAACCTTTTTCCTTGTTCCAAACTTAGGGGGGGGAAAAAGCTCTGTCAGGTAGCAGTGTCTAAATCTCCTTTGTTCTGCTTTTTTGGAAATGGTGAAGTGTCAACTCTTGGGGCCAGGAGGCAAAAACCAAGTTCTAGACATGGTGGATTTTCAAACTAGCTTCAAAGACACCGCCCTGTGGTTCCCCTCCCCCTACGTCCCTTCTTGCCTCACAGGCCTGGATGTCCCCATCCAGAGCAACCGTGACTGTTTTATACATTTCCGATGCCTTTTTGTTATTTTATAAATAGCCAAACATGTGCATGTATATAAATATACCTTGTTTTATATATTGACACGGAGGAAAGTACAGCATTTCAAATAAGCTGCCTCACAGTTCCCATGGGCTGTCTTTCCTTCCTCCCCCCACCCCCGGTCCCCTTCTTCGTTCATTTTTCTAGTTTGTTGGGGTTTTTTTTGTATATTCTATTGTAATAAAGATTCAGAGACAGAAATGCAAGCCTGGCATAATATAGATCCAAAGAGAGAAACGGTTTTCATGATTCGTTAAAATATATTTGTTAAGATGCATACAGTCAAGATGGGGGTTGCAGCTATGTGATCGGGACCTTTTTGCACGGACATAAAAAAAGAGTAGAACTTTGAACACATGGTTGTGATGGCCATCTTGCCTTTTTTTTCCCCTCCCGTAGAACCCCTGGTGTTGCAGTGGATCGCAACTTTTATCAGTCCCCTGTGTGTGTTTTGTGGGTACGCCATCCCTTGTTCTTGGGAAAGAAACTTTCCCAAGAAAGCAACTAAAATCTCTTCCTACCACGAATCTAAGCCATATCTCTTTCATCAGGGACAATTCAGGAATCCAATAGAAGGAGATATCTGTAGCTCAGGGGTTGAACTGTGGAATTCCTGGTTTGTTTGTTTGCAGACATTTCATGACCCAACTAGGTCACCTCATCAGTTCCAGGTAACATCATCATCTTACACAGACAATGCCACCTAGTTGGGTAAAGAAACATCTGCAAGGAAACCACCAAGCTCAGCCAACACCAAGAACTCCACAAATCAGATGTTGTCCTAGTGGACAATCATTTAAATATGAGCCAGCCGTGTGCTGCAGCTGCCAAAAAGGCCAACACAGTGCTAGGCTGCATTAACAGAGGGATAGAATCAAGATCACGTGAAGTATTAATACCACTTTACGATGCCTTGGTAAGGCCACACTTGGAATACGGCATCCAGTTTTGGTCACCACGATGTAAAAAAGATGTTGAGACTCTAGAAAGAGTACAGAGAAGAGCAACAAAGATGATTAGGGGACTGGAGGCTAAAACATATAAGGAACGGTTGCTGGAATTGGGTATGTCTAGTTTAATGAAGAGACGGAGGGAGGGGGGACATGATAGTAGTGTTCCAATATCTCAGGGGCTGCCCCAAAGAAGAGGGAGTCAAGCTATTCTCCAAAGCGCCTGAAGGCAGGACAAGAAGCAATGGATGGAAACTAATCCAGGAGAGAAGCAACCTGGAACTAAGGAGAAACTTTCTGACAGTGAGAACAATTAACCAGTGGAACCACCTGCCTCCAGAAGCGGTGAATGCTCCAACACTGGAAGTTTTTAAGAAGAGACTGGACAGCCATTTATCCGAAATGGTCTAGGGTTTCCTGCCTGAGCAGGAGGTTGGACTAGATGACCTGCGAGGTCCCTTCCAACTTTATCATTATTATTATAAACTAAATTGACTCCAAGAAAAATGGGCTGTGAGCAGATCTTGACTCATTCATCCATGGCCACAATTGGTGTGGCTGGGCTGGAATGAAAAGAGAAGTTAAACAGCAGACACATTTTTTTTTGAACACTTTTACCTCTTGCACAATACAGGTAATCCTTGGCTTGCAACCTGTTGCTTAGCAACCATTTAACATTCCAGTGGACCTATCTGGGCTATTTACAACCTGGATTCGACATTCCAATGGTTGGGCCCCCGTTGTGGTCATTGTGACTGAACTTCAGCCGCTTGGCAACCCAGTGCATTAATGGCCATTTGCAGCGTCCAACAGTCAGATGACCACATTTTTTGCCGAAACCCGGCATTTGCTTCTGGTTTTTGTGGCAAAACTGGCTTATAGCAAATCATGGATTCCCTTATTGAAAAAAAAAAAAAAAAGGACATAAATTGAGTCAGTCGCATGATCAACCCACTTTACAACCATCACAAGTTACCAATATGATGGGCGGGTTCCATGAACAGTTGTAACTCAAGGACTATGCTTATCCTCCTGCCCTTGATTTAATGAGGCTATGAATAAGAGTCCTCTTTGGGGGAGACAGGCAGCTATGTGGATTTGATTAATAAACAAATAAAAACATGATCCCTGACAGCTGAACTTGAAAACCAAAGGAAAGGATGGCAAAACTGAGGGAAGAATAAAAAAAACTCTGAATTCTGAGTGGAAAACACAAGGAAGAATTAAGTGGAACAGGTTTGACAAGGGGGGAAAAAAAAAAAAGCCTTCCTGAATCAGAACGGAAGAAGTTTCTTGGATGAGAAACGAAATATTTTCAAGGAATAAAAAAAAACAAGGAAGTCCAGTTGCCTTTTCGAAAAGCACTTTTGGAACAACCATCATCTGGGTGACTGAGAATCCACAGAGATTCCCAAATCATAGTTTTGCCCTTTTCCCAAAGGAGTCTCCAGGTTAGAGTTAAAAAACAACAACAAAATGGCGGTCAGGATGGTGTCATCAAAGCTCTGGCCCATTTTATGTGTCAGGCATTTGGGTTTTTTTTAACCACCACCTGCAAGCATCTTTACCTTTTTCTGTTGGTTCACCAAGGAACATCTAAGCAGACATTGCAAAAGCTGGAAACGGATCTGGGTGGACACGTCTTTCACTTCACAGGAAGCAATACTTCAGTCTTTTGATTGGACAATCATTTGCCCGAAATGGTATAGGGCAGGGGTAGGCAACCTTGGCTCTTTTATGACTCGTGGACTTCAACTCCCAGAATTCCTGAGCCAGCTATGTCCACGAGTCATAAAAGAGCCAAGGTTGCCTACCCCTGGTATAGGGTTTCCTACCTAAGTAGGGGGTTAGAATTAGAATAATAGAATTGAAAGGGACCTTATAGGTCATCTAGTCCAACCCCCTGCTAGAAGACCTCCAAGGTCCCTTCCAACTCTGATTTCTATTCTATTCTATTCTATTCTCAAGTGAGGTTATGACTTCTCGCAGAGTTATGCAAGTTTGCCCAGGAGGATGGCCACCATTCCTTCAGGTCATCTAGTCCAACCCCCTGCTCAGGCAGGAAACCCTATACCATTTCAGACAAATGGCTGTCCAGTCTCTTCTTAAAAACTTCCAGTGTTGGAGCATTCACAGCTCCTGGAGGCAGGTTGTTCCACTGGTTAATTGTTCTAACTGTCAGGAAGTTTCTCCTTAGTTTCTTTCTCCTTCTCAGGCTTGGTTCACAGAGGCCTCCAAAAGATCTTATGAATGAAAAGTTAAACTAGCTATGGCTAGAGAGTCTATGGAGATTCTCAGTCATCCAAGTCATGGTTGTCTCAAAGGTGCTTTTTCAAGAGGCAACGGGACTTTCTTGTTTTTCTTTGAAGACATTTCACTTCCCATCCAAGAAGCTTCTTCTGCTCTGAGCTGAAGAAGCTTCTTAGATGAGAAGCGAAATGTCTTCAAGGAAAACCAAGAAAGCCCCGTTGCCTCTTGAAAGAGTGCCTTTGAGACAACCATGGCTAGCCATAGCAGTGTGGAGAAATACTGCTGTAGGACCTCTTTGTGTTTTCATATTTAGCTTCTGAATCTGCTCCTGGTTTCCTTCACAGCACACACTTCAGTAAATTAGGTCCACTTCTAATAGGAGCGTTCACCCAAGACGCTCTGTTTGATTTGTTGACCCAACTGTGCTTTGTGAAACAAGTCAATCTGCTTGGTTCATAATAAATCTCACTGAATTACCACCCACTCCATTTCAGATTGAGAGTAAGACTTCTGTGTCCATCTTCTCCATACCTGTTAACTGTATAAATGTTTTTATATCTTTCACTTGGCCATTAACATTTTTCCCACAGTCCAGAAGTAAATGGAAAACATGTCAGAATTTTTTCATTTTGGGCCAGAATTCCTGCTTAGAAAGATTAGTCCCTGACTTGAAATTGGAAGCGAAACAATAGGGATTTTCTGTCCCAAATTCTTTTTCAATCCAATGATACGGCCCAAGTAAAAACCGAATGTTTTCCACCACTCAAAAGATATACAGGATTTTCAAATAATCTGAAAATAGATTCCGCCAAAACCAACCTTGTGGAAACTCTTCCTTTATAATACTGGCACCCATTTGTTGCTGATGTTGTACATGAAAGATTGTTTTCGTGGAATAGAGAGGTTGTAAGTCCCTGGAAGGAGAAACACAGAATTTTAGGGGGAGTTTAAGGATCAGCCTGCAGAATGTGGTCTCTCGTTGGCATCATTATATTTATCTCACGCCTCTGCATTACAGGTCGTCCTTGACTTACAATCACAAATGAGCCCCAAAGTGATGTTGTTAAGCAAGACAGTTGTTAAGTGAGACGTGCCCCATTTTATGACCTTTCTTACCACAATTTTTAAGTGAATCGCTGCAGTTGTTAAGTTAATCACACGGGTTGTTTAGTGAATCTAACTTCCCCATTGAGAGAGGGTCACAAAAGGTAATCACATGACCCAGAGACCCTGCAACCATCATAAATGCATGCCAGTTGCCAAGCATCTGCATTTTGCACATGTGACCACAAGGGTGCTGCAACGGTCCTAAGTGTGAAAAACAGTCATTTTTTTCAGTGCCGTTGTAACTTCAAACAATCACTAAATTAATGATTGCAAGTCAAGGGCTTGTTGTTGTTATTAGTTGCGAAGTCATGTCCGACCCATTGCGACCCCACGGACAACGTTCCTCCAGGCCTTCCTGTCCTCTACCATCGTCTGGAATCCATTTAAGCTCACGCCTCCTGCTTCAGTGACTCCATCCAGCCACCTCATTCTCTGTCATCCCCTTCTTCTCTTGCCCTCCATCTTTCCCAGCATGAGGCTCTTCTCCAGTGAGTCCTTCCTTCTCATTAGGTGGCCAAAGTACTTGAGTTTCAACTTCAGGATCTGGCCTTCTAAAGAGCAGTCGGGGCTGATCTCCTCTAGGACTGACCGGTTTGATGGCCTTGCAGTCCAGGGGACTCGCAGGAGTCTTCTCCAGCACCAGAGTTCAAAGGCCTCAATTCTTTGGCGCTCAGCCTTTCTTATGGTCCAACTTTCACAGCCATACATTGCAACTGGGAAAACCATGGCCTTGACTGTACGCACTTTTGTTGGCAGGGGGATGTCTCTGCTTTTTAGTATGCTGTCTAGATTTGCCATAGCTTTCCTCCCCAGGAGCAAACGTCTTTTAATTTCTTGGCTGCAGTCCCCATCTGTGATGATCTTGGAGCCCAGGAATAGAAATACCCACCTACTTGTTTTAAGAGCCGTGGTGGCACAGAAGTTAGAATGCAGTATTGCAGGCTAATTCTGCTGACTGCCGACTGCCAGCAGTTCGACAGTTTGACCCTGACTGGCTCAAGATTGACTCAGCCTTCCATCCTTCCGAAGTGGGTAAAATGAGGGACCCAGATTGAGGCAATAGGCTGACTCTGTAAATCGCTTAGAGAGGGATGTAAAGCATTGTGAAGCGGTATATAAGCCTTAAGTGCTAACTGCTATTGCTAGGAAGCTTTCTCCCTGTTTGGCAAATGCAAGAAAGAAACTTAGGTACCACAGTTCAAGGGTGTCAAAATGCCAGGCCGGATGCGTCATGCTGAAACCGTGCCCACCCCATTGCCAGCAATGGGAAAAAAGTCACGATACGTCGCGACACGTCACATGACGTTGCGAGTTTGACACCCCTGCCATAGTTGATCAGATGCTGGCAAACTTTCTGATAACAGAATTGCAGAGGAGGCAGTTCAGCTATGGGCTGGGTTACTTTTTTTCAAATGCATGAAAAACAGAAATTCAGCAGGCGCAGCTGCGTCTGCGTGTCGGGAGGAGCAATGTCTCGCAAATTCCTCCTTTCTATGCAGCTCGGGGCACATATGTGCTGCCAGGAAAAAAAAATCTGTGTGCAAGTTGGGACTAGACGGAGGTGCAAGCGGTAGTGACGAAGCAGCACTTTCCTCCACCTCCTTAGCTGCAGAAACTCCACCACATGGTTCACAGGCAGGCTGTCTTTACACATCCTGCCAAGCCATCTTGTAATTTAACACAGTCTAGGCACCCCGTCCAAAGCCAATCAAGCAGAATTACGATCAGATTCACAGCTCACAGTGACCCATGGTTTGTGGAAAAACTAACACTGGCTGAGGTTCATAATATGCATAAAGGGTCTTGCTGGTTAGGGATGATGTGAGTTGTAGTCCAACTCAGTACAGGTAATCCTCGATTTACAACCGTAATTGAGCTTGGGATTACAATTTTAAGCCATGGCGATAATTAAACGGGTCATCGTGCAACCGCCCCATTTTAAGACTATTTTTATGGGAGTTGTTAAGCAGACACAATGTCCACAATGGGTGTTTTTTGTCGGAAATGCCAGTTTCCAGCAAAAAAAAGTTGAAAATTGCAGTCACACGACTGTGGGTTCTGCAAATGGCTGTAGACGAATCTAAGTCTTTGTTTGTTTGTTTGTATTCTTTTGGTTTTGGATCCGTTGTAACTTTGAATGATCACTAAGAGACCTGTCAAGGATTACCTGTAGGAAGGTGCCCTGATTGACAAAGCCTGTATTCAATATCAAGTGAAAGGCTATGGTTGGGGGGGGGGGGAAACAGGGAAGCTGTAGGAGATGACCAGGCTGAGCCGGGGGAGGGGTCAAATGCATCATCAGCCATGAGTCCCTGCGCGCCCACAATAGATCTAGGTCCTTGAATTCCTTTTACTCTTATCTCCCACTAATTTCCCTTGACTGTTAGTAGTTCAGATTCTTGTAGAGAGCTTAAGCTTGCAATAAATCTTTATTATCTATTTGAATTGCCTGGATCTCTTGATTTCCCTGGTGCTGAACAGAGGACATGAGACCATTAAGGGTGAAGGTCCGTTCCCCAAGCTTGTGGGTTGGTTTCCAAACATTTCATTACTAGGCTAAGTAACATCTTCAGCGAAGTTTAGGGGATGCCAGTGTCATGTATTCTTGGAACATAGTGGAGGAACACTGACATCCCCATAAGCTCCGCTGAAGATGTTAGCTGCCTGGTAACAAAACGTTCGGAAACCAACCCACAAACTCGGAGAATGAACCTCCACCCTCATCCTACAGCCGAGCTACAGATGTTCACCACTATTGCAGACATGAAGCCACTGACAGGACATTGTTGGGAATCTTTTCAGGTTTTTAGTTAGGGAATCATATTTCTCCTTGGTCAATTCTATGACACATTTGCACATTTCAGTGACTATCGAGATGACTGAAGTTTATAAAATGACAAAGTTGAAAAGGAACACCGAGGCCTTCTGCGGTGTGAAGGCTGTGGCATCTCCAAGGTGGATCAAGAAGGTTAAGACAGGGATCTTGATCCCTAGCAGACATTTGAACTGATCTGTTCCTTCAACACATTTTTGTGAAGATAGACTCAAACCATGGTTGAACGCCGAAACAGACACAATATTATGTCAAGCAGTAAGATTTAAACAATAACCCTCTAGAGTTGAAGCAATTTGCATTTGTACACAAGCTCCAACCTCTTGTAAGATTTATAAGCTACTGTATAACGCAAAATAACTATTACTAAAAGATGTTTAGGTAAAAATTCCTTCTATTTTTTTTTGTTCCTTTCTTAAAAGAAAGTCATAAGTGTTCTTTTTTATAAAAGAAAAAGTATTTGGCTTTCCATGGGCTTTTGAAAGGTTTTTAAAAATCCATTTAAGCCCTTCTCATATTTTAGGATGTGTAGTTTATCCTGATAATTCCAAATATTCAGCCTAGAAACTCTATTACCAGTGATTAATGACCACTTTTCATAAATCAAAGGCAACATTGCCATTGTCTTCATCTCAAACTGCACATTCATCTGTCAGAAGGACTTAAGAGATTTTTGGTGTCCTTTACTTCCTCTTAACGGCTGAAGGAAATATTATGTTACCACTTGGGACCGATTGCTCACGAATCTCAAGCACGCTTTAGCCCATTTCAACTCCATTCCTAGTGTTTCTTTTCCAGGTAAGGTCTTGTTCATATGTAAAGGACTATTCAGAACTGGTTAAAAGGATAAGAAGGTGGGCAGGGGTCTTGAAAAACATCTTATATTGCTCTTCTGCAAATACAGGATAGCCTCAGCTTACAACGCCAATTGTGACAGAATTTGCGTTCCAAAGCAAGACAGTTGTTAAGTAAGTCACGGCTGATTTTACAAGCGTTTTGCCATGGCCATTAAGCAAACCAATGTAGCTAAGTGAGTCACTTGGTTGTTATTAAGTGAATCTAGCTTTCCCCATTGACTTTGCTTGTCATAAGCCAGCTGAGAAGATTGCAACTGGTGATCATGTGACCCAGGCATGCTGCAACCGTCAGAAATCCATGTCGGTTGCCAAGGGTCTGAATTTTGATCACATGACCATGGGGATGCTGCGACAGTCATATAGTAAGTGCGAGGGCTGGTGGTAAGTCAATTTGTTCAGTGCTTTGATCACTAAACAAATGGTTGAAAGTCAAGGACTACCTGTACTGTAGCAGAAGACAAAAATGTCACTGCAACTAATAAAGTATTATATCCTTTAAAATATGTTCAAAGGCAAAGGGGAAAGAATGAGAAAAGATTAAAGTGTGAGAAAAAAAACGAGGCAAGGAAATGACAGGATAGCAACAGCAATAGCACTTAGACTTATATACCGCTTCCCAGTGCTTTACAGCCCTCTCTAAGTGGTTTACAGAGTCAGCATATGACCCCCAACAATCTGGGTCCTCATTTTACTGACCTTGGAAGGATGGAAGGCTGAGTCAACCTTGAGCCAGTGAGAATCGAACTCCTGGCAGTGAGCATTCTAACCACTGCTCCACCACGGCTCAGGATGTTTTCCATGGTCCAAGCTTTGGCTCATATTTGGCTTTTTAAAAAGCCATCACTTGCCCTAGCTTCTGTGGATAAGAGAAGGTTTGAAGTCTTTCTTTTAAAAAAAAAACAAGTCACCACTGACATTGATAACATTACCATCAGTCAATTGCAGAAGGCAGCTTTCCTTGGAACAGCTTAAATCCTGCCATGGTACCTTTAACACCATCAAACAAAATATCTGCTTATCCCAAGTCCTTGGGAAGGGCTCAATAGGTGGATCAAAATGACAAATCCAGCATAAACATCTGGCTGACTGTGCAACCATCATAATAAAGCTAGTACCAATAGGAATAGGCACCTTGGATGCAATCCAAAAACATCTGGAGCATCAGTTGAACACTATTGGCAATGGGGTCTAGGACAACTCACCGTGGCCTACTCGCTGTATTAATTGTTTCATTCAGGTACGTTTATTATTGGTGCCCTGTTTTTGTTGAAATAATTGTAACTCTTGTATTTCTGAACTGAATTTCTTTATTTTATTATTATTGACCACAGTTCTGTCAAAATTAATGTAACTTTTGTATTTGTTGACTTGTCCTGGGGTGAAGTGCCCCACAGCGAGTTGGCCATGATGAGTTGACGGCAGCAATTTGTCCCATTCCACTAGCATTGTCGAAAGCACCATTGGTCAATTGCAAAAGGCAGCGTTACGTGGAAGAGCTTACATCCTGAAACAATGCCTTTAACACCATCAAACATCTGCCTATCCCAGGTCCAAGGGAAAAACTCAGTTGGTGGATAAAAATGCCAAATCCAGTCTGAACATCTGCGACCAACAATAATAAATAGGAAGATAGCCTTGGGGCAGTTCACTATATGCAAAGCCAGCTATTATAGTCATTTCCTGGTTGGGCAAGGCAAGAGTTACAGGACTGAAGAATCATGCACACTCATCATCTATCGTCTGTAGTGACACACCCTATGAGCCCCACCACAAGGTCATCAATGACCAAGTAGCGTGCTGGCAATGCAGGGAACCGGAGGATGTTTTTCCAAAGGTAATTCATGATACAACCTGTTTACAAACTCTTGTACCGAATGACATGGAAGTTACAGGTCCTGCTAATTAACCTTTTCGAATAATTGGGGCCCAATGCGCCATCTTGCTTGAGGTTTGGCGACAGGATATGAAAGTCCCATTTTGTGGCAAGACAGATAGTTTTCCAAGACATCTCAGCAAAACATACTTTTCGGAGGAAGACCAAGAGCCTGACTGAAATAGGTCAACCCCCTTGCTATTTTCTGCTTTGCTACTATTGGCACGCCACAGGGCTGTCCACAAGATATAGTAAAAAAAATCAAGATGGCAAACATGACGGTATGATTGAAGGTCCACCTGTAAACAAAATCAATTAGAGCTTTGACTGCATCGTCAGGGCTGCCATCTTGACTTTCTTGTTGTTGTTAGTTGTGAAGTCGTGTCCGACCCATCACGACCCCATGGACAACGTTCTTCCAGGTCTTCCTGTCCTCTATCATCTTCTGGAGTCCATTTAAGCTCATGCCTCCTGCTTCAGTGACTCCATCCAGCAACCTCATTCTCTGTCATCCCCTTCTTCTATTGCCCTCCATCTTTCCCAGCATTAGGCTCTTCTCCAGTGAGTCCTTCCTTCTCACTAGGTGGCCAAAGTACTTGAGTTTCAACTTCAGGATCTGGCCTTCTAAAGAGCAGCTGGGGTTGATCTCTTCTAAGACTGACCAGTTTGAACGCCTTGCAGTCCAGGGGACTCGCAGGAGTCTTCTCCAGCACCGGAGTTCAAAGGCCTCAATTCTTTGGCGCTCAGCTTTTCTTATGGTCCAACTTTCACAGCCATACATTGCAACTGGGAAAACCATGACCTTGACTATACATACTTTTGTTGGCAGGGTGATGTTTCTGCTTTTTAGTATGCTGTCTAGATTTGCCATAGCTTTCCTCCCCAGGAGCAAGCGTCTTTTAATTTCTTGGCTGCAGTCCCCATCTGTGGTGATCTTGGAGCCCAGGAAGATAAAATCTTTCTTGATCATGCCCTAAAAATATCCCTAACATGCTAACTACATTCTTGTGGTTTCCATTTGTCAATTGTCCCCTCTGACTTTCTTTTTCACTTGCTCTTGGCCTCTCCACCCGACCTGCTGACCTTTTTTGAGCTTCGCTTTCTCTCTCCTTCTAAAATGGAGAAACAGTTTGGTCTGCTCTGGGGGCATTCAATAGCAATTATATTCTCACCTGGTCCAGGTATGCCTTGATGTAATTTATCACCTGTCCAGCGGCGTGTGTTTGAGACGAATACAGCACTGGAGATGTAGTGCTTAGGAGGTCCACTGTAGTCCACTAAGTCATATTGGCCAGGCCCTGGTAAAGGAGGATTTTGAGGGGGAGGGACAGCTGGGGCTGAGAAATTCAAGATGCACTTCCTCCTATCAAAAACAAAGGAAGACACTGTCTAAGTCAGTGGTGGTGAACCTATGGCACGGGTGCCAGAGGCGGCACTCAGAGCCCTCTCTGTGGGCACACGCGCCATCGCCCCAGTCCTAGGCCTTCAGCTGGGTTTTATAAAACCTTTTCGCTTTAGGCCTCCGCTGCTGTGTGCAAAAAAAAAAAAAAAGGTTCAATCAATCAGTCAATTTCAACTTCTCGCAGGAAAAAAAAAGATCTTGCATAGTTGGAAGTGATTGATTGAACTTTTTAGTCCCACCCTGTCTGTTGTTACCACTGCAGCTGCGCCCACCCAATGGGCCACACCCCCCAATTGGCCACACCCAGCCAATGGGCCACACCCACCCGGCACCCGACGATGCATAAGTGGGTTTTGGGTTGCAGTTTGGGCACTCGGTCTCTAAAAGGCTTTCCATCACTGGTCTAAGTTCTCTGTGGTTTCAAGCAAAACTAGGATTATTTTAATTCAAGTCCTCTTCAACTAGAAATTTAAGGGCTACAATTACCATTGTTCCCCAATCTACATGGCCTAATAACAAATCTAAGTTGAGATTAGAATAAATTAGAACTATGTTTAGCACAATTCTAAGTTGACTCTTATTTTGTAGGGACATCTGCATGACATCATCTTTGGCTTTCAAAGTTCTTGGTGTTTCAAGATCCTCCAGGATAGCGTGTACAACCGTTTGGAGTCACATGCTTCAAAATGTACAAAATGTGCCAACGTAACACCTGGCTGCCACTCTTTCAAGCAGCGTTTCTCAACCTGGACAACTTTAAGGTGCATTTTTAAACCTTCTGGCTGGGGAATTCTGGCGGTTGAATGCCACCCATCTTGGAGTTGCCAAGGTTAAGAAACCCTGCTTTAAATCAAACATTTATTTTCCCAGGATTTCCCGCAACACACTTTTACTGTAGAATGCCTTCCACATGGTAATTCTGCATGGTAATTCTGGGCCACTTTTTAGGGAGTTCTTGAAAATAACTGGAAGTCGCTCTTCTCATTAGAAAAGATGGGGACATGTATCAGCAGTTACTCTAACGTCAGCTTGACATCAATGGGAATTGAAATGGCCTCTGGAATGTTGATTCTTCTAGTATTTTCTGCCCGCAGAAATGTCCTTTATTCAGCAGGTTTGATCTACCTCTTCCCTGTATGGTTGGTTTATGGCTGTTACCCACTGTCTGTTCCCCCTATATTAAAAAGGCATGAGATGTAGTAAAGATACTCTGACCGTGTGCAGAGAGTAGCAGATCTGTATTAGGAGAGGTGGAAGGGTGAGCTCTGAGAAGTATCTGGGCAAGAATGTAGGGGGTAGATCTTAATCTAATCTCTAGCAAAATGGCTCCACTGTTTGCAGGCCAGTCTCTATAAAACAGACTTGGTTGAGCAACTGGCTAATAGTTTTATTAGGCCTTGGGTCACCTATGAGCAGGAAGTACGAAAGCACCTTTGGTTCCCTAGAGATTGTTAAAGAGAAGGTCAAAATCCATCGATTTACACACATTGATGCAAAATTAAATTTGGGTTCGAGATTAAAAAAAAATGAGTTCTGTAGTCCAATCTCTTCCAATCCAGAAATGTACTCAGTTATACATACCATAATATATTCACCACTCTGTGCACGCTGAGCAATATTTGCTATTAGGTTGTCACATCTGGAATTAAGAAAGAATCGCATCCTGGATATTCCTGCATGCCCATACCTTTTCATAAGCCGAGCCTTGGAATTTTCTAGTCCAACTGCTTTGAGACCAACATTTATTTTATTCTGCTTTTCTTTGATTATTTGGGGTCATGCTATCAACATCATCATCTGCCTGGAATGTTCTTTTTGCAACGGGACCAAGGAAATGTGCAACAAGAAAGGGTTTAGAGCAGTGCTTCCCAACCTTGGCAACTTGAAGACGTGTGGACTTCGACTCCCAGAATTCTCCAGCCAGCTTGGCTGGCTGGAGAATTCTGGGAGTCGAAGTCCACACGTCTTCAAGTTGCCAAGGTTGAGAAGCACTGGTTTAGAGACATGTCAGTTGATTTGCTATTTAAGAAAGGCAGCTGGAGATGTTTGGTAAACATCTTTTCAGGACTTACAATCCAGAGAATCTCTTTGATGGTCCAACTGAAGTTTCAACCGGCTGCTGATAGGCTGCCGGTCCCGGGCTCAGGGTTTCTGGGTTGATTGTACGACCCGTTTTGGATTTAAAGCAGGACACCAGCACTGGAGGAGACACTCTTATTATGGAGTCTTTAATCCGGTAGTGACCTAAATTAATAATAATAATAAAAAAAAGTAAATACGCAAAACCAACTTTCCAAATGACACAGCCAGGTATTATTCCCCTTGGAGAGCTGCCCGTAACAGCTTAGCTGAGATGGGCAGCCATACAAATCAAATAATGACAGTGGCAAAAGGAAGCAAAGATAGTACCAAGGATAATAGGTGTCTTGGGTGCAATCCCACAATATCTGGATACCTCTGCACACCACTGACGTTGACAAAATTACCATCAGGCAATTGCGAAAGGCAGCTTACATCCTGCAGTGATGCCTTTAATACCATCTGGGAAGGACGGACAGGAAGGCAAAAATGCCAAGCCCTGTCTAAACATCTGGCTGACTGTGTGATGCACCATAACAAATACAGCTAGTCCTTGACATATGACCACAATTGAGCCCAGTGATGCTTTTGTTAAGTGAGATATCTGTTAAGTGAGTTTTGCCCCATTTTGCAAAATTCAGGTGCATGGCAACTCACTTGTATTTATGACGGTTGCTGTGTCCCGGGGTCATGTGATCAGCTTTTGTGATCTTCTGCCAAGCAAAGTCAATGGGGGAGCCAGATTAGTTTAACAACCTCGTTACTAACTTAACATCTGGAGTGATTCGCTTAACACCTTTCTTGCCACAGGTGTTAAGCGAATCACTCCAGATGTTAAGTTAGTAACGAGGTTGTTAAACTAATCTGGCTCCCCCATTGACTTTGCTTGGCAGAAGATCACAAAAGCTGATCACATGACCCCGGGACACGGCAATTGTCATAAATACATGTGAGTTGCTATGCGCCTGAATTTTGGATCACATGACCACAGGGATGCTGCAGCAGTCTTAAGTGTGAAAAATGGTCATAAGTCACTTTTTTCAGTGGTGTTGTAACTTCAAACGGTCACTAATTGAATTTAAGTCAAGGAATACCTATACCTACAGTTAGCAAATATTTTTTATTAGGAACAATAGAAATTATGCAAAGATGTACATGGACTTTTTGAGTTCTTCAGAACTCTTCCTGAGCATGGAAGTGAGGCTGGAGAAGAAGCTGGATTCAAGAGTGAGTTGCGTGTTTGAAATATCTGGCCTACATTCTTGGGCTACCTTCCATTTCTTGCCCAAGAAAGTGTTCTCATTTTTTTTTTCATAGATCAAAGCAGCAGTGGTTGCTTTTCACTATGTTTTTGCCCCACTGAACGGTACCCTTGAATGGAGAACGAACATCCATTCCTTGGAATAAGAGTGAAATCTTCTAGCTTCTTGAGCGAAATATTTTTTTTTTAGGACTACATCTGCCAAACAATTGGATTACAGGGGGAAAAATATGCCGTTCTTTCAAAGAATTATTTCAATTTTTAAATAACAGACTGTCCATGGAAATCTAAGAATTAGACCCGGTCAAGTAGAAAAACATTAGGAAAATAGAGCATTTTATTTCTTTGTTTAATTTAAAAAAAATTTCCCAGCCTGTCTTCTTCTCAGGTCATTGCTAAGTGGCAAATCAGGTGAACTAATAATTTTGACACACAAGGCTGGTTATGCATAGCATTTTTATGTACTTGGTAAGGATGAACTACCCTCTTTCTGTTGTCCTTTTGAGTATTATACCAATAAAGCACACTTTTGGCTTACATGGAGAAGGCACTCGTTCCTGGCAGCTGTACGACAAGGTCCGTTTTGTTTTTGATGAGAAGACAGACTTGGCACCGAGTTTGCGGTTCTGTTTGCAGAGATCCACTGAAACCTGGAAATGCAAATCTGTGTTTTGCAACAAGCTGATCTTTCAGGTGTCATTAGGTTGCTTTTTAATTGGACATTAAATCTGCCTACTTCCAAAACAGTGGTGCTTGTTATACAATTTCTCTGCCTGAAGTATTGCAAGCGCATCAGCCAAATAATAATCTGTTAAAATATGTGAATGCTATTATCTATATAAATAAAAATGTAAATGTTCGTTTGTTCAAAATCTTAAATCTCCGAAAGTCCTTCACCGATTGCTTTGAAATTTTGACACAACATTGCATTCGAATACGTGCGTGTTTTTATATATCTATATTATATAGATGTCACACCTGTGACAGGTAAAAACATGCTTTTTTTGAAAAACAGCGCCATCTGTTGGACGTAAAAACAACACACGCTTTTACCAGACTGAGCCACAGCAACGCGTGGCCGGGTACAGCTAGTTTGAGAATAAAATTCAATAACTAACACAAAGATCCACCTTTATGGCATGGCCTTTGGTTGTAGTTAGATAAAACTCTCTTGTACATTTTTTTTAAAAGTAATGTACTCCACCCTTTTATTAAAATACAGAATTTCGTATGGAGGAATGAAATTGTACAGAATCAGGTATTATGATCTGTGTTTTATTCTTCAAAACACTGTTTCTCAATCTTGGCAGCTTGACAATGTGTTGACTTCAACTCCCAGAATTCCTTAGCAAGGGGCTGGCTAGGGAGTTCTGGGAACTGAAGTCCACACATCTTAAATTTGACAAGGCTGAGAAACACTACTTTAAATGATTTGCTTCGGTCTACATGTTCTCCATGGTCTATATTAACAGATGTCAAGGGCAAAAACAATAGCTGCTAAACTGAAGCTTTTATAATGTGTTTTTTCTCGGTTCACATACACCTGTTTTTTAGTGAGTACAGATAAATTAAGGGCTCATTATCCTACGGTGAATTTTGCACAACCCTGAGGGAAAGGTGTAACCTCTGGATCTACTTTGTAAGGAATTCTTTGTCTGAAAATTAATTACCCTTTCTAATCCATAAAAGACTTGGGCAACAAATTAGCCTTCAAATAAAACATCATGCATAGGGACACTGGTGACATAATTGGGACATCAGAGTCTGGAGAAGCCTTTGCCAACCTGGTGCCCTCCAGAGTTTAGAAAGATGGGGATGGTAGTCCAATTCATCTGGAGAACATCAGACTGGATATTCTTCACAGCAGTCATCTCTATGGGGCACTAAACATTCCTACTGGACTGCAACTCCCATCACTCCTTGTCCCTTGTGGTAATCTAAGGACTTTGGTGCAAGTTAGTAACATCTTCTACACTTGTCAAAAGAGAGAAAGAACCCCACATGTCCTAGCTTGATCTGGGTCCATTTCAGGTGACAACAAAATATGATAAACCCCAATCTGATCCAAAGTGAATCAACAGTGTTGGGCTCTCTCATATCAACCAGTGTCTTTGGAGACAACCAAAGTAGCCTTTTTTATTAGCCCAGTGCTCTTCTGCTTGGTTAGACCTCAGTTTTCCTCTCTATGCAGCTGGCCTGGGGAAATAGAAGAGGGGGCTAAGACATTTGGGGTACCTGATGATCTTGACAGATTTTATCTTTCTGGGCTCCAAGATCACCGCAGATGGGGACTGCAGCCTTCTTTAATTTTCTGCGAACGAGGACCCCTCCTTTCGATACCGTTTAGATCTGTCGTATGATTTTTCGTCTCTGTAGTGGGACGGTTGTTTTCACGCATATCAGTTCCGGTACCAAAAGGGTCAACGTTACATACCGACACTTTCAACCTGGTATTCTTTCCCTGAGCGCCAAAGAATTGAGGCCTTTGAACTATGGTGAACTCCTGCGAGTCCCCTGGACTGCAAGGCAATCAAACTGGTCAGTCTTTGAAGAGATCAACCCTGATTGCTCTTTAGAAGGCCAGATCCTGAAGTTGAAACTCAAGTACTTTGGCCACCTAATGAGAAGGAAGGACTCACTGGAGAAGAGTCTGATGCTGGGAAAGATGGAGGGCAAGAGAAGAAGGGGACGACAGAGAACGAGGTGGCTGGATGGAGTCACTGAAACAGTAGGAGTGAGCTTAAAGGGACTCCAGAAGATGGTAGAGGACAGGAAGACCTGGAGGAACATTGTCCATGGGGTCGCGATGGGTCAGACACGACTTCACAACTAACAACAACAACAACAAATGATGTTGTTTGAGAATTGGCTGCTGAGGTGGTCCAAAAGGACTTGAAAGGGGAGAGGTCTCATGGGGAGGGGGATGAAGATTCCTAGCTGAGGCATAACCCAAGTTTAAACCCACCTTCAGCTGTGCATGTTCAGTAAGAGGTCTTGGGTCAATCCATCTTTCTCAGCCTAGCCTACCCTACAGGGTAGTTCTGGTAGGAAAAATGAAACAGTGTTCTATCTAATGACTTGAGCTTCTGTAGGAAAATGGGTCTTTAAGGCTAAAAACAAGCAAATTAATTGGGCAATAGAGAGAAACTCCAAAGAAAATATTTTGATTTGTTTTTCTTTTGTTGTTCAAGCTTACTGTACTTTCCCCCCTCCAGCCCACTCTGGCCCTCTAATCTAATTCTCCTCCTTTATCTTCTTGGGCTGAACTGAATATGAATCTTTATTTCTTCCCGTTTGGTCTCCTCACCTACAGCCATAAATTATTGCGCTTGTCTACTTTTTCTTTAATAGATCATTTCCTCTTTGGCTTCTCCAAAGATTACGCATTACAGTAAGTTTAAAAGTAAATCACCAGTTAGTGATTAACTCATGAGGATTTTCTTCTTCCCAGGAGAACTCTTCTCTGTAATATTCAGTTTCAATTCATTTTTTATTAGTGTGGGCTGCTGCTGCTACTGCAGCAATGAATTGCAGGGAATGGCTTTGGGGCAAAAACTGAGAGGTGCACTGAAGATCAGTTGCCTTTCCTTCAGTGTCATTTCACCGTTCATTTGTCTTTCCATGCTTCTCACCAGGTAACTGGTGAAATAATAATAATAATAATAAAGTTGGAAGGGACCTTGGAGGTCATTTAGTCCAACCCCCTGCTCAGGCAGGAAACTCTATACCATTTCAGAGAAATGGGTGTCGAGTCTCTTCTTAAAAACTTCCAGTGTTGGAGCATTCACCGCTTCTGGAGGCAGGTTGTTCCACTGGTTAATTGTTCTAACTGTCAGAAAGTTTCTCCTTAGTTCTAGGTTGCTTCTCTCCTTGATGAGTTTCCATCTGTTGCTTCTTGTTTTCCCTTCAGGCGCTTTGGAGAATAGCTTGATTCCCTCTTCTTTGTGGCAGCCCCTGAGATATTGGAACACTGTTGTCATGTCACTTTTAGTCCTTCTCTTCATTAAACTAGACATACCCAATTCCAGCAACCGTTCCTTATATGTTTTAGCCTCCAGTCCCCTAATCATCTTTGTTGCTCTTCTCTGTACTCTTTCTAAAGTCTCAACATCTTTTTTACATCGCGGTGACCAAAACTGGATGCAGTATTCCAAGTGTGGCCTTACCAAGGCATTGTAAAGTGGTATTA